AAAAGTCGTTCGCCTGACCGGGCAGTTTGGGCGGGAAACCAGCCTGTGTCACCAGGTCCTGTTCTACTGTGCACCCACCACAGAGGAAGAAACATGCAGACAAACCAGGAAATAAAGACGTTTAAAACAGCCAGAGGAACAGGACCGTTCAGATTCACAGCCGAGATTCTTTAAAAGCCTCGTGATGCTTCTGTTCCACCACATTAAACAGCAGATCCTTCAGCCGCCTGGAATGACTAGATGTTTGTACTGGGACCTTCCTCGGTCCCCACAGGGGCTCACAGTCACTGCCGTAATGCAAAGGCTGCAAATTACATTGAGATCTTCTTGAAAACCTGCTGCAGTCATTGTCTGCTCAGTGATTAGTCTAAAGCTGTGCAGGATCCTGGTGGGAATGACGTAAGACATTCAGTTCACGCCTTAATGCCCAGATTTGAACTGTAGTTTGTTCTACCTGTTCAGTTCCTCTCTGAACTGACAAGCATAGCTGACGTGTTTAAAGTCAGCAAATCAGAGTGTAAATTATTATTTTCAAAGTTACTTTGGTTACTCAGACACATCATCAGCTTGAACATGAGGAATGATAATAACAATGGTAAACCAAAAGTCCCAGAGTTGGTGTGTCCAGGGTCTGCGTCTTTTAAACAGGTCTTTGTCCTGACTTTAAGAAGAGTACAACCTGATGCAGTATCTGGTGGGTAAAACCAGCCTGGTATCAGAAACTGCATCCAGACTGGACCTGATCATTGACATAAGGTGCCAGTGTTTATGCAGGAAGAAGCTAGAGGCAGAGAACAAGAGTGTGGAGGTTGGCGGGTTAGGATTTGAAGAGGGGACCTCAGTTTACATCCTGACTCAGACATGCAATGAATGTTGATTTTTTTATTGACGCTGATTATTATTTTTGCCCAATCCTAACACTGAGGGGTTGTACTGTAGATAGCAAAAATTGGCTGGTGATGTTTTAGCTGATACCCAGATCAGGCGATAGAACTGATTACAACCTGTGCCTAGCTGCTGGTTAGGACACTAACTTCAGCCTGGCAGGCCTGCACTCTCTCTTGCATACCCTCCTGACTGTGACCGATTCACTGTTTATCTCTTCTTTCTCACAACCTGTAAATCGTCACGAAGCTTCTTTTCTTACCCTGACACTGTGATATTCTCCTCTGACCAGCTGCCATAAACATACAGTGTGATCAATCATCCAGTTGTCTGCTGAGCTGAATTCAACAGATCCTGACTCACTAACATAAGACAGTTGAAACTGGCGCCTCTCTCATTCATTACTCTGTGAATAATGTTTGCTTGCTTCTTCTCAAGCCGAGTATCTTATTTCATGGCTGTATCGTTTTCTTTTTTTACAGGTGAGGCTGAGGAACTTTACTATATATAGTCAGGAGGTGGTGGTTATTTGTGTTATTACTGAGCATCAAGGACGTTTCATGTGTTATTGTAGCAGGGAAGGGACATAAAAACCTCTAAGCGTCCTGACCTTCCTCAGAATGTGGTAAGAGATGGAGGCGTTGGCGTCAATGATGATGGTGGCCACTTTGTCGTCCCGGATCTCCTTCAGGAGGGGGGTGGGGTCCAGACTGTCGTCCAGCATCCGCACCGACAACGTCTCCCTGGAGATGAGGAAGCGACGGACCAGCTCCTCCAATCGCAGCAGGCCTGAAGGGCGGGAAAGGAGAGAAAGTTTATGGAAGTACTGCACCTCTTTAACCACGTCAGTAAATATGTTGGCTGTTCCCAAACATGAACTTACGTTGGGTTAAACCAGGGATAAAACCAGAGTTAAAGCTCCCAGGACGTGTGTGGATCTGTCCATAAATGATGCTCACCTGGGTCTTTAGCTTGTTTACTTGTAAAGTTATTACTTTGACTTGGGGAAAAGGGGTTGCAGAAATTGATGGGACTCATTAAAGAGAGAAATAACTTTTAAGGCTCTTAAAACTTCCAGGCCTGAAAAGAGGCACTAAACACAGGCAGGGATAGAGGTGATTATGCTGAAAGTCCATTAATTTACCCCTCAGAGGATCCATTTAGACCCACGTGTCCATAAAGACATTCACTTAAAAACAGCTGGTTATTAGAATGTGACACATTTTAAAGCATATTTAAACCTTCAGTCCTTCAGATATTCAATATATCAAACCCTATTTTTGATCTCAGGTTGTAAAGGTGTTACTTTCAGAAACAAACATATACATCTGTAGGCCTACACATATTAACTACTGTTATTTACTGCACACTTCAATATAGAACTGTTTTTATTGTTACTGGTGGAGCTCACAGGTCCAAAATCTTAAATCAGTATGTTCCCGTTAGACTGTTGAGCATTATTTAACCCCCCTGCCCTCCACAACAGACCACCCGGCAGTGTGGAGGTGTGACGGCTCTGTTTACACCTCGACTCAGTGAGGGCCACACCGTGAATGTCCGCAGCAGGAGACATCTGCTTCAAATGTTATCACGGCAGAAAAGGGCTCTTATCAAGACCACAGACATGGGTTAGTAGGCCCTACTCCGCCTCCTAGTTGGTTCAGTAGGCCGTTATCACACACTGGATGTTTGTCATCATGGTTACATTATTAAACACAGATTGTACCAGGTATAGGTTTAGAGAAAGATCATGAAAACAGAGAAACAGGAAACAAGGAGCTGTTTCCTGCCTTGTCATCCACCTTTCGCCCAACTTCCTCCATATGATGACTTTGTTCCTCCTTGCACAATGTCACCGACAGAGATTGTTGCTCTTATCATGATTACTACAGCCGCTAGAGGTCACCTCACTGCCACACGTCAATGACATGCACCTGGCCTACTGGTAGGTGCAGTTTGCTTTCCTGATCAGTTGATCATCATGAAATTAACCAACAACAATTCCGACGATGGATTCATCGTAATTCATTTTTCAAGCCCAAATTTCAAACTGTCACTGTTTTCAGTTTGTCAGCTGTAAGAGCTGACTGCTTTGTATGTTTGGGTTTTGTTGTTTGGACAAAAGAGGACATAAGATAAGATACATTGGGCTGTTGGAACAGTAATGTTCCATTTATTTCTGATATTTAACAAGTTACCACAGTAATTCATTAGTTGAAAGAAAACAGCTGTAAGTGGGACACTTATTTGATCCTCAGCAGAAATACAGACCTCATCAGTTTGGGGGGCTGCTTTTGTAGGGACTGACAGCTTCACAATGTTCTTCTGTGTACCAGAAATGATTCACACACAATAAGACTGAAATACCAAAATCACACGTCTGATATTGTGGTTTCCTTCCGTGCTGTTTTAACAGCTGATGTCTTAACCTTTAGCCAACAGGAATGTCATTACTGTGTGCTTTCTTAGTTGATTGTACAAATATTAATATAAAAATACATTGAAATACAAGAAATTGGTTCAAAAAAGGCAAAAAAGTTTCATTATTAAAATGTTTCCTGAGCAACTTTTAGAAAAGGCTACTGTGTTTGCATCATCTCAGTTTTAACATTCAGAGCCAGTCGGCCTTCAGCTCGTTGCCTTGCTGTCCCTGACAGAAGCAGCAGCCATGTCTCGACTAATCGCTGCTATAAAACGCTCATCACAGCCCTATTGGGTTTAACTGGCGGAAAGCGCCGATCACGACAACAATACAGGCCCATTAAACGTCACGGTTAAGTAGCCGAGGATACAGCTAAAAACGGAGAAAAGTCTGCAGTGGTGCACCTGGGCAGCCCAGTCGGGTGGAAAAACAGGAGGGAGATCAATGAAGGAAGAAGGGAGGGATGAGAGGGAGGACAAAGAGAAGCAAAGGGAGGAAAAGGAAGTGGAAACTACTGAATAATAAATAAATTAGTGCATCTTTAAACCACTGACTCTCAATGATGCAGTTCATTAGAGAGACTCTAATCCAGCATGAGATCCAGCTAAGCCTCCGACTGACACGTCGTGACTGACTGAGCAGCTCATAGGCCGAGGACCTGGGTCAGTGGCTCATTATAAATCATATGGTAGTCATACAAAGTCTCATTTGCATCTCAGAGGATGCAGCTGGTTTCTTGTTACACTCTTGTACAGTAGAAAGTCTTTGAAAGTAATTCTAGTTTCTAATTTTCTAAGTTTTGCTTTGCATTGATCTGGCCATATTGAGGAATCTGCAGATTGCTGCAAATACACTAGATCAACACCACCAACCCACACAGGCACAACTGATACAGTGGCTTGCAATAAATGAGGGAAACCCTAATCTGACTTTTTCTATCTTGATGCCCGTAACCCTGACATGCAGTGTCTTATGATGCTTAACCTGAGCCCAGCCTGTTCAAGAAGTGACTATATTGGAGCAGAAACTGCAAACTGAACCTCCAGAGTTGAGCAGATAAAGCTTCCAGCGTGCACAGCAGAAAGGCTTCAGCCGCTCTAAAGTCAGATGTGTTCAGCCTAGAACTGGACGAGATGACACCGTACCCATCAAACAGAGGAATTAGCGAGGGTTGGTGGAGAAAATGGAAACAGAGGAGGACACACAGACACACACTTCACAGACAGACTCACACTCTGCTTTGGCACAGATGAGGCTGGTGGTCGGGTAGCTGAAGGAGCGTAGGATGGATGCAATGGCCAGACTCAGGTCCTCATTGCTTGGGTAGAGCGTCACCGAGGCGAAGCGAAGGTATGGCAGCTTCGGGGTTTCTTCTGGACCGATCTTCAGATGAGGGATCTGAGGTCACCAGGGATGAGGAAGAAGAGTTATTAGGAAACAAACCACACACACAAAAAGAAATGATGGCAGTGTCCTTCAGGCACATCTGGATGTCAGTGATTCAAGGGAAAATACAGAGAACAATAAAAAAAATTATTGAGTAGAAAAAGAAAAGTCGAGAAGCAAAAGAAAAAGAAAGCGATAGAAAGTGAGTGGGAAGCGATAACATCCAGGGAACATATTTTAAAGAAATCATCAAACCATACAGGCTTTACAGAGAGTCCAGATAACAGGAGCAAAAGCTTTAATCAGAGTCTGACGCTCGCTGATAATCGAATCTTTGTTCGGTTCCAAAAAGAAAATCTGAAGAAGGAGCAAAGCCCTGATCATCAGTGTAATTAGAAAGAGAATTCCATGCAGAAATCACAGAGAGAGTGTGTGCTCAGCTCTGCTCACAGGAGACCTTCATATCAAAGCATTTATGGATTTGTTTCTTTAGTGTAGGAGTTTTTGGAGGACAAAAGAAAGGCAGCAAAACAAATGTATCCATTTTAGCAGGATTTTAAAAAGAGCCAGTACAGAGCCTGGATATGCTCCATGAATTTCACAGCTGTCTCTCCGTGAGATCCTTAAGCAGGATTTTGGACAGATGATGGCGTTAAGAGGACGGTGACAGTCACTGAGATTCCCCCTCTGGTGACCATGAGCTATGGAGCCCACACGGGGTCATGTGGTGGAAGAAACATTTATACAAGAAACTGTGAGAACGGTTTAGTAACTTGGTTTATCACCTAAATATTTGTTTTTTTAGCACTACCCCTAATGGGCTCCGTACACCCCAACCCCAGCATGTAAGTGCAGCAGCCAACTGTGTGGACAGACAGAGAGCGTAGTGGTAGTACTGAGGTGACCTGTAGGGCCGCCGTGTTGATCAGTGCTGCAGTGCCTACACCCTCCCTACTGCTCTTCCACATACCCTGTTCTCTCTCCACTGCTTCTGCCTCATTACGCTAAGCTAGCAGCTCCACAGACAGCGGAGAGGTCAGTCACTGTCACTGCCTTCAGTTTGAGCCATTAGGGAAAATGAGAACCACAAGCTGCTGCTGGAGACACTAAAGCAACACTTAGATTTGTAACTACCGCTCTGTGAGTTCTTGACTAGTAGGTTTTATATCAGAAACCTGCCAGAGACAGAGCAACACTGAAGCTGTGAGGAGGTCTCAGGTCTTAGGTTAAGAACCATGCTGAACTCTAAAATGGTTCTCAGTGTAGCTGCTCAACCACAGGTTTTAGCACCCAAACATTCTGCAGTGCTGAACACCGCTGACTGAGCTGCTACAGTGCCTGGATGTCAGTCCTTTTCCATTTCCCTCTGTGCTATTTGGTTAAAATGCACATAGAGCAAGTAGGCTGAAAACCATGAGCTAACTAAAGCTGACACAATGATCATGTCTGAGATCTTCTTGCATTAATTTCAGAGACGTTTTAAAGCTTCTCTTTTTCCATTTTAAACTCCAGAGCAAAGGCCCTTTGACTCACTCTGTCTGTTTTTAAGATGAAAATTTAATGACAAATTGAAAAATTAATCACATCAGTGATGAATGAAAGAATCAGGTCAAAGGCCAAATGTCCTGTGTGTGATTCAGTGCTCAGTGATTTAACCTTACTCATACCTGCGGAGGTTTAAATGGTAAACTGTAATTAGCTCAGCTGGGCTTCACTCAGATCTGCACAGCTTATTTTAAATCCAGGCTGAGAATCCAGTAATATGAGAGCTGTCGGCCAAAAGGAGAAGGATATGAGGCCGGTTAGAGGCTTAGAGGGAGCTGGAGATGGACTCGTGCCGATTCACTCAGGCAGGAAATTGGCTGAACAGAAGTCAAACCTTGTAAAAGTCAATAGATCTTCTACAGCAGCTTCCTGGCAGGTTTATCAGATGCATAAACTATGACTGTAACACCACTAGGTGTGCTATTAAATGTTACAGTAGCATCAGTGGCACCAGATACTGCCTCATTTAAAATAACAGCACTTCTGATTCTCATTATGTTTCACAGTGTACTCTCAGCTGTCAGACACTTCCAGATGTGACTTACCTCTTTTTCCCCACAGATGTGACTGATGGTGGAGCCGGAGGCAGGGCTGGAGGCGGGGCCAATGACTGAGACCACCCCCTTTGGCAGGATCTGACACACTGAGGGAGGAACAACAAAGTCACGGAGGTCGGAGTTAAAAGTTTAATTAAGCGAATTTGACATGTTTGTGTTCACAGGCTGAACTGAAGAGCCTCTAGGTGAAGTCCCAGCCCCCTATTTGCATCTATGTTTTCCTCACTTGTGTCTTTACCTTGTGTTTTAGTTCCGCCCACATAAGATGCTAGGAAAAGCTGTGAGGAACCAAGGAAACACCTTTTGACTAACACGAGACATCCTTTCTTCTAATCCCTCACGTGAAGCACCCACTCACGAACTGGTTTGTAATAAAGGGGTGTGAGAATCCATTACTGAATTCTGCAAAGGATGCACTCATGCATCCTCAGTTATAGCTCCTCCAGCAGCCTCCTCACTCCTCAGAGCAAAAACAAGAGCTCTGGGATGTCCTTCATCATGGCGGACCGGAACGACGTCCGGGTCAAGTGAGGATCGAGGACCAAGGAACAATAATCTAAGGGAAGTGGGACTCACCTTCTGTCTGCACAGATAAACCCAGAAGTGAAGGCAGCCTATAGAAAAGCCTGAGGGACAAGACTCAGGGCAAAACCACTTGTAAAGCTCATTGCAGTGAGTGTGTGCTTTACTTTTGTAGTAATGTGGACCATATCCATATTCCATGTGCAGCATGTTTAAAAAAAAAATGTTTACAAAGAGCTTGTCAGTGTCTGCACATCCATAACCCATTGTGCTCATAACTGGGTTGTTGTTTACGCTCATGTTTTCCCTGCTATGATAAGTGAATTTCTTTATACGATGCTGGTACAGATTAAAGAGTGATTAAGGCGTTTTAATGCCTTCATGTACTTTCTTTTAAGGCTGGTTTGCTCCTTGATGTGTAGCTCTGCTGAGCAATATTTCTGTTTAACTTCATGTTGACTGAATGTGGAACAACCCTTTGCACCTGATGCACCATCCAGCTTATTGTTAAATAAAGGTTGCTGCTTTACTGCTCTGCTCTGCTCACTGAGGTTTACTGTCACTGGAAATGTCAGAAGAGCAGATTCGGTGGGAGGGAAGGCTTATTGCCACGCGTTCAGGCCCATAAAGAAGACAAAGGACAGAAGCTTACTGGTGTCAGTGGTGTCATACTGGGAGTCCTTCTGCAGCTCGTAAACGTCCACCTCAACTCTCGCCTGGGAGGGCCCCTCCATCAGACTGTTGATGTTCTCCCTTGCCAGAGCCAGCGCCAGTCGCTCACCACGACCACACGCTGACTGGTCATCCAAAATGGCCGCTGGAGGGAGGCAGGGTAAAGGTCAAAGGTAACAGATGAAGACTTTTTCAGCAGTGGCACAGTTACAGGACAACAGTTAAAAGGCAAGAGCATGAATTAAACCCTAAAATCTTCTACAGTAGAACAATATCTCAGTTGCTGATATGTTTTGGCACATCAAGCATTTATATTTACCACGTTTTCTGTGATTAATTCAGGGCAGTTATTTTTTTGTAGCGGGTGGGACCCACTTCACACCCATCTCTCCATTTGCATTCTGTGTTTGACTGGAGATTACTGCACTGCAGCTACAAAACTCTGACAGCTAACAGGCTGTTTATATCTGTCTCATCATCCTGAAGACAGGCTCTCCTCTTCAGACCTCAGATCTTTACAAACGCCTTTAACGAACAGGTGCATCGACAGTGGTCCCATTGTTGAAAACTACTGGGATCCACTTTCTGGAAGCTAAGAAAACAAACAAACGTCTGACAAATGTGGCCTGTGTAGAGGCTGAACAGCGTTTAGACACCTGCCGCCCAGTCACAGGTGAGTACTCCCAGTTGTCACAGTGTCCTGTTTTTGAACATTAGCTAAAACCCAACCATTTTTCCATTTCAGCTTGAGTACCTGACTTCCTGTACTGTCAGTTAAAGTCAAGTCTGTAGATTTTTTAAGCTGTTCTGTTTTAGAGTTCTCACTGTGAAACCAGGTGGGCGTGCACGAGCCTCATTTCCATCCCCACAGACAGAAAGAGATGGACGTAGATATGGGATGACTTACTTGTTTCCTGGTGCCGGCTCCACTGCTCACTACAGCCCTAAACAATGATTTACTCCAACAGTGTTTGCTCATGAAGACCAGCTGCATCAAGTAAAAATAACTTGTCATCATTTCTATTTCCACCTACTAGAGATGGTAAAGGAATGTACCTGCTGGCTATGTACAGTAACACCTGCTCTGTGTGTGTGTGTTGTCCTCCCCCTGCCGACCTGTCTGCTTTGCATACCAAGCACACAGAGATATTCAGCAGTGTTAGTGGTAGTTTATGATATGGAGGCAGCTCATGTCTGCTGCTACACCCTGGCCTGAGGGCCACGTGAGGGCAATAGCTTCTCTTGTGGTTAAACACAGAACAGATTCAGGACTCGATTATGAGCCTGAAGGTGGATGTTTCATGCAGTGCAGCTCATCCTATGACTGTTTCAGTGGACACTGTGATGCTGCAAAGACACAGCAGAACAAGGCTAAAATCACAGTTAATGTGCTGCTGAGACTCAGTAACAAGCAGAAAGTCTGCTGCTGGCGTTTGTTCTGGATTTGGTTTGTGTTTCTTAAATAATTAACACCACTCGAGGCCGGCAAAGAGGCATTTTATTGTGCCCTTCCTCAAAACACTGTTGTATTTTCTCAGTTTAGGAGAAGACAAAGAGATCCAGATGGTTCGTGTTGAGTTATCTGATGCTTTCTGAGTTGCTGTGGTGTGCTAAACTCTGCTGGAACACAAAGAGTTACCGTCGGGCACTGTCACACTGAGGTCTGAGGCTTTCTAAATGATTTCTCTGAAGACTACTGGCTTTCCTCACAGTTTTCCACAAACCAGCAGGAGCACAGCAAACACTGTATGTTAATACTGAACTGTTATTAGTTTTACATGGGAAGGATTATACAGTGTAGCTCCTGTAGCCTGGGAACGCCTCGGGGGGCTCTAGAGGCGCTGGAGAACGTTACCAAAGAAAGGGACATCTACACTGTTTCATGCAGAGTAACAAACTCTCAGACTCCTGCTCTGACCTCATTTGTTACACTTTGTGATAAATTTGTTCTCGCTCTGTTCTTATTCCTCTCCTTGTGTTTCCTTCTGTTCCCTGTGAATTGCCTGCTGACAGCCCTGTGAGCTGCAGAAGACACTCCACTCAGGTTTAATATCAAATTATGCTGCTTCAATTGCACTTTTTACTCCGATGGTGAAACACATTGGCTCCCGTTTTCCTGCCCACTGGTGCAGAACCGTCACCTTGTATTTATGTAAACAGGTTGCAGAGCGAGTCAAACCATCGCTGTGCATTTTGTTCTGGATTTAACCAGAGACACAACAATAGAAGTCCTCTCATCAAAGCCGAGGTGGCTCTGAGCAGCGATTTCATTTTACCCCTGGAGGCGGTGCAACTTCACAAAAATCTGACTAACAGGTTTTCTTGTCACTTCCCACCTCTGAGCTCCATGCATCTGACATTTTTTGATACGAGTGTGGAAGTCTGGACTCTGGGGGCTGCAGATATGTCGACAGATTCAACAAGACAAGACAAAAAGCAGAATAAACCCAGCAAATCACAACTCAGCATTCCTCTGGTGGCTGGTGTCCTTTCAAAGGCAAACAAGAAGCCTCCATACACCCATTTTCGAGTAATGGACATAGTGACTTGGTTTTCTGAGCATGCTGCCCCGATGACATCCAGTTTTGCTTAGGTTTTGTAGGTTTTGGGGGGGGTGGATGTACATGCTGTTAAACCATGAGCTGAGAACTGTGTTATTCCTTCTTCGCTGTCATGCTCATCTCACGAGGCCCACACACACTGTCACTTCCTCTAAAACCTTACCATGTCATTCTACACTGTGGTTATTGTAGAAATCTAATACCTGGGACACACTGCGTTAATCAGAGGGTGATACCTCGGAACACAGGGTCTACACTCTGTGACTAAACACCAGATATTAAAGAACAACAGCATGAATAAATGTATTGTGATTTTGTGCAGATATGTGGTTCGTGGCTGAGACGAACCCTGCAGTTGTAGATTGAGAGAAACTGATCAGAGATGCTTTGTTAAACTCGAGCTGCGTGAATCCTTCAGATTCGAGCTCTGGGCTGAGAAACGATGTGTTTACTTCTGACTTCGGGATATTTTCTCTCTCTGTCTCTCTCTGCTTCAACTCTGTGTCTTTGTATTTAATGACTTTGTTTTGCTCTGCATGTCCTGAGATGGTTCTGACCTGGGACAGTGAGCTAACGGCACTAACGGTCTCAGAGGTCGGACAGAAGGGACGGCTCCTGGAAGTCACGTTCACTGAGCTACATTTATATTCAGTTTGGGTTTTCCTCCAAAATGAGACATTTATCTTGTGAAATAAAAACTGTCAACTTCACTTTGAAAAGTGACTTATGCCCAAAATGTGAACGATGTACTTTGAGTTCATCTTTAAAGGATAACTGGAACAGATGTCCTGCGGTGACAAAGTACCTTTTTAACAGCGACTCCTCTGTAGTTTAGAGATACTTAATGATGAACATAAGCTAATGATTCCTTCAGAATGACTGATAGTGTAGATTAAAATAATTCATGAAGGTTTTCGGCTGCAGCTGAAGGACACTGATGCTGCTGAATTAAAATCCTTCACTACAATATTTATGAACTTGATTTTTATTCCTGCCGGAGGAGAGAGGATCTGCATGATGATGTCTGTTAAAGATTTATTTCGTGCTCCTTTGATTTTCTGCACCATCTCACATCAGTGCAGACGGTGGACACAATACCACGAACAGCAGCGCAATGTAATGCAATCTGTTAGCTGGCTGAAAGGGCTCCATCTGCTGTCCACCTCAGCATGTGCCTCCAGGTGCTGCAGAGTACCAGTGATGACTACGAGTCTGAAAAGTAAAAAAGGGTGGTGTTTAGAGAGATGTGAACCAGCTGGACCAGCTGCTCCTCATCTCTGCTGCAGGCTCCAGGACACAGGACATGTCCATGATGAGCCTGACAGTGTAACTGGATTAAAATGTGAAGTTGGTGAAGTAGTCTTTTAAACCACACGCTGTCGTTTCAAGCACGTTGGCAGGGTGATGGCACTTAGCTCTGCCTGATGCTGTGTTCACATATACAGATGGGTATCTCTTGTCATTCTGGGGCCCTGTTGTGTTGAGCACGCCGCTCGTCCTCTGCTCCGATTGGACACTTGTATTTGATGTATCTGGTGCTGCCAGATGCTCCACCGTCTACAATTTGTTTCCACATCATTCTGCTTTTTTTATACTCCTGGAACTCATTAAAGACACGTCGTGAAGGACTGGGAGGCCGGAGACTGTGATAGCTGGTCAGCTTTTCCTTCATTCTGGTTAAAACTCCTTTACCTGAGCAGAGTAGTAAAAAGTAGTAAATGGTTTCTGCCTTCACCTGGCTGTCGCTCACACTGGATCAGAGGATATTATTTTTGATATCAGCTCCCTCCCTGCAGTGTATCTGGGCCCGGGTGGAAGCTGTGGAGCTCAACAGAATGAGGCAAAATGAGGGCTCCTTCATAATGGACAGCAGCCATCACTGTCCCAGCTGTTTGAATCATAAGCGTGAACTTCCTGGAACTTTGTGGAGTTGGCGGCGCTTCAAAGCTGCCAACCTGGCTGCTCACTCTGTTGAAACTAATGTTACGGGCCCCAGTGGTGAGGTGGCCGTAGCAGGAAAGAATTTCTGAAATACAGTGCAATTGTATTGTGTTCAACATTCTACCTACTACATCCAAACTCCATGTAAAACACATTTTAAAACATTTACATCATTAACTTCATTATAATCACATTTTATGAACAAGCATAAAACTCTTGTCTCCACAACTGAATCGCACAAACGCATATGCTACAACTGTCGTGCAGGATCGCCACAAAACATATACAGTGCATATTTTCCTCACAAAATGCAAATAAACATATCTCAGTGCCAGTCCATGAACTCTCGCGAGTGTTTCTGCATGCGGCCGGCTTTACCGCCAGTCAGAACCGCGAACAATTTACTTATTGTGTCAAATATGTATAAACAAATATCACAGTCAACTTATATACTGATACGAAAATAAAGCAATGCTTTATAGTTACTTTTGGCAAGTTTTACCGTGTACTAACCTGAAAAACAATGCAATTGGCAAGAGCAATGAACACGAGGAGTTCTACTGTTCACGTCCAGATTGCGTCTGAGGTAACAGGAAGTCCACCTGCTAAGGGCAACCTGGGGGGCGACCACTCCCTAAACAAA